AACTGAGCAGCAAAACTCAAACATTTGCAGAAAATAAATATACAGAATTTCTTAGAAGCATGAGCAGTGATGAAGAAATTTGAAATCCAGGGAGTGAAGGGACAGTCCTCACAACTGATTGCTCCAGAGTCCTTGTGCCAGTCCAGAAACCTTTCCTTACTAGTGCTGGTTCTCTGTGGGACATCTTGGGGATGAATACTGTATTGCATACAAGGAGTTTTGTGTATTGAATGGTTTTAGGGAGGTTACAATTAATGTTCTTTGCTGGTTATCTATATCCATTTCTCTGCGTTTCCTTCTCTTGTGAGCTGAAGGTGAGTGCATTGTCATTCTGTTGAGGCATTTGGAGTCCTTGCTTACTGTGCCTCATCTAGGTCAGCATGTATTTGTTTGGTACATCTCATTGCTGTCTCCTCTCCAGTCCTCACATTTGCTGTCCTCATAGCCGTGTGCTTGGCAGTGCCAATTCACTTTAGACACTCAGAGTTCTTCAGCAAGACTTTTAAAAGATGGGGAGTGTTCCCTTCCTAGCTCAACGACATCATCTTTCAGTGTGACAGTCCGGGGGGTTTCTTCCCGTGACTTCAATGTGGATATTTCTTTCCACAATGTCTGCAGTTGCTCAGTGTTATCCACACTGTGATTCTGTGGCAGGTTGCCACAACTTATCAGTGGCCACCTTTGCTGTGAGTCCTGTTCCTTAACTGGAGGTTCATGAGGAACTGGTTCAGCTAATTACTCAATGCTGATGCAGTCCTTCCTTTCCCTGCTGTGCTACTGCTTATATTGATTTGATTTTTTGGTCTGAACTGATTCTGGATGATGGCTGGCTAAAAATTACTTTTTGGCAGGTGATGGGGAGAGCTCAGTAGCCTTCTGCTGGTTTAGCTCCCTGCATTGTCTTGCCTGCATTGTGGCACGGGACAAGTGCTTGAGCCAACGCAAAAGAGAGGTCGGGAACCGACAGCTGGAAGTGAAGCTGGGGAGAAAGGAGATGGCTGCAGCAGCATCCTGAGCAGATACTGCAGGCTGCCAGTGGAGGGGGGAGAGCTGCTCCCCCTTCCAGCTCCCTGCTGCTCGCCTTATGTCAGCTTTGGAGTTTGCTGAACCACTTCTTGAGTTGATTCAACTTGCTAACCCAGTCAAACCTTTCGCTGACGTAGTGATTTGAATCAGCTTGGGAGGGGGCCCTTAACTGGGGGAGGGGGTGGAATAGCATTGCTAAAAGGATTTGGGGGAAATGAGTGTCTGCTAATTGTTTTAGCCAGGCTAAACTCCATGCCAGTGAAAGAGAATGAGCCTGTTCAAGGGTAGCACTGCCCTTGCTTCCATGGCACCCAGAGCTGTCCTGAATCACTGGCGGTAGAAAGGAAAAAGTGGGAATTTGTGGAAAAGGCCACTGGACTAGTTAAAGAAATGCATGATAAATTCTGACAGCTTAAAATTGCCACTGAAACACCAAAAAAAGATCAAAAATCCTTTTTAGCTGCTGAAGTGCTCATTTTATGTTGGTTCGTCACTTTGTATCCTGTGGGCAGCAGCATTTTTATGCCTGTAACAGATACCCATAAGTCAGATGTACAAAGCAAGACTTGAGTAAACAAGTGCAAAGGAAAGCAGACTTGAGTGTCTTGGATTAGCAACTTTCAGTAAGAGACACAGGAGCTGCAGCCAAGAGAAATATGTGGTGTAAGAACTGGAGTTTGGCGGTAGGAAGAAGGATGCTGGTAGAATTCTAGTTGTAAAAGTAAAGAAAAAAGAATTAAAGTCTGGGTAAAAGATACTGAAGTCTGGACTTTAATACGGCATGTGGTAAACTTAAGAAAGATCTTACCTGAATATTGGAGTTAAGAAACAGTTAGAGGCTCAGTGACCACTACTGGCAGACGTTTCTTACCATGTAAATTGTTTTTGTTGGGGTTGAAATGCATTGAACTTGAGTTTTTGTAACTTTTGTGTTCTTTAAGGAAATATTTTTTTCCTGCTGGTAGGTGCAAAAAAATCCCTTAGTTTGTAACTAAGCATAACTCTTACTCTGTATTGGGTACTTTAATTAGAAGAATTACCTGCATGTAGACTTCTCAGGTCATAGAGGACATAGTAATAGTTTCCATTCTTGGTTTCCAGGATAGGTGTTTTTATCTTTCATGATAAAACATGCTTCTCTTCAATGTATTGTAGTTTGTTGTAGTTACACTATATTTTGTTATTAGGTCTATAGAAAGAGAAATAAAAACCTGTAAAGAGTTCAGCTTCTTAAAACAAAATCTGAATTATATCTTTTTGCCCCTTTATAACTTAACTGCCAAATAGTTGCCCAGCTTTGAAAGGGCATGCTCTTGGACTTCTTCCCAGGTTATTAGCACAGTTCATAACTTCGTTATTCAAGAAAGCCATCTCTTCAGTGCTTTCGAAGCTGGGACAGGGTGGGATCTTCTGGCACAATTTTGCTCTTGGCGCTGCTGCCTGGGTGAAGTAAATGCAGAGATGATACTCGGTCCTAATGCTGCCAACTTCAGTAACTGGGTTTTATAGCCCATTGAAGCCTTAGTGTGTTCTGGGAAGGGCTGGAGGCAGTGGGGAGAAAACCTGGTTTTTATTATTTTGGTGATGCAGGCTTCATTCCTGAATGTCGCAACAAATTGGAAAGCTTAACAGGCTCATCTGCCAGCCCTTTGGAATGTGTTACAAGTTGAGGCTTTGTATCAATCTGCATGAAGCTACACATCCTAAATGTAGCTGTGTTTCTCCGGAGCTGTCCTTGAGCTAAGCTGTCTCATTGATGCAGAGGTGTTTGTCTGCGGTCCCTGCTCAGCCAGTCTGAGCTCCAGCAGGGAGTGAGTAACCTCTGCAGCGTGGCTGTGAGGCTCAGCAGTGCCTCCAGACCTGGCTCATTACCTGGTCTTCCAGTTCAGTGCTGTGTGCATGGGTGCTCCATGTTGCACATAATAATGAAGATTGTACTCACTGGTGTGTGGATTTACTTTTCTCCAAACGCTGGGCACGCTGTCTTACTAGAGAAAGCTGTGCCAGCTGGCTGCACACTCTGTGTGCACTAGATGACACTGAGCTGGCTGTTAACTAGATTTTTTAGGTTACAGTTGTAGGCTTTAAAAAGTAAAGATTTTTATTGTATTACAAATTTTACACCTTGCAGTTTATTGAATACTTTTTTTCTGAAACATAAAAAAGGTGGTCTTCATAAGCAATCTGCCCTTCAACAAAATATACTGTGATTAATTTTCAGTCTTAGGGCGTGGGAAATTATGCAAGGAAGGGAAGGAGATAGCAAAGTAAGTTAATAATAAGTTCTTAATATAAAGATTCTCCATCTTTAAAGAGTCTACCCCTTCTCCATGGGGAGATAATCTCTAAATTTGCATGTTTTTTTCCACAATAAAAATTGCTTTCTGGAGAAGGGAATACAAATACAAATTTGGTATTATTAAAACCAACAAAGTTTCACCCCTCCCCTGTTCTATCTAAAGTTCAACGTAAATCAAGTTATATTCAGTGTTTCTAAATTTAGGATGACAGTCTAAGCAATTCAGTTTTCTTAAAAACCAACAAAACTCCCACCACCCCAAAACATATATAGAACTCATTTAATTGCAGGTAGATGAAGGAACACTGTTACTTCTTTCAGCTTCTCCCAATTCACATGTGACAGGGTCTTTGAGAAATTGTTTTGTGATAAGATAATCAGGGGAGTAGTCCAATCTTGGAAACCAGCTTTTGAATTTGCTGAAGTCTGTGAGTATTTCCAGTTTCAGTGTGAGTTTGGCATACAGGGAGCTGTTCCTCTTTTGGCAGGGTGGCTCTTGACATTACTGAGCCATGCATTTCCTCGGCTTTGTAAATTTTGGTTATCCTTTTGGTTTATTTTGTATCCTTTTGGTTAGGATATCCATCCTGCTGCACATTTGAAGTGTCCACCCATGCTGAAGAATAAATCTGCAAGATCCCTGTGAAATTTGTGTGGTGACAGGTAGAGGAGTATTTATAGATCTAAATGCCTTTGTAGAGCACTGGTGCTACAGTTTCTGAGAAATGCAGGGAAAGGTAGAAATGTTTTCTGGTAGTGGGTTTTAAAGGGTGTCATTATCTGCCTTATACAAATGTAGTATTTTTCTGAACCTTTTGCTGAAGTAGGAATGAGGCTGGAATTTTCATAATGCTATATATAGCTTGTGGTTAAGGACAATTAAGCAGGCATATTACATTTAAGAAGCTGTCTTTTTTCATGGTTACTGCTTTACATTAGTCATCTTAGGTGTTACGAAAAATATACAGACTGTGCAAACTGACAGGGTAAGCAAATAAAGCATATAAAATTCAGGCTTTGTGTTAGAGAACTAAGCAGGAATGGTAGAGCTGAGTTTGAAAGAACTGTGTTGTCCATTCCGGTAGAATTATTTTTCTCCCTACCTCCTCGTAATACCTTCAACACTCTAAACCAATATTTCAAGGAATTTTTTATTTTTATGTACTGTATGTAAAATGTCTGAGATACATAATTTCAGGGAATATTGACATGCAGGTGGCTCTGGTACCTTGACATGAATTATGTTTCTCTAGAGGTGGGGTGTATATTACTAAATTCTATCAAGAAAAATGATCCTTGCTCAGGTGAGCCAGTACTGAGTGCTTAGAAAACTGCTTTTCTCTTTCTGATCCTTCTCTACAGAGCAGTGTCATTTGGGCACTTCAAACCTCCATTTTCTTTGTTCTCTCCCTTCTTCTTTAATGTTATTTTAATAATGCACAACCCAGCATAGTGAGCTGCCCATTATGAAGACTTGTAACCAAGTTGAAAAGGTCTGAGTCGGTGCTTTTTAGTCAAACCTCAAAATGGCTCTCCAGTATTTCTTAGTTTTGTAGAGATACTCTTAAATCTGTAGCTACTGATGACGTGACACACCATCACAGTGCAGGCTATGCTGGATACGAGCGATGCTAACACCCCTGTCTGTGTGTCCCCTGTTTCTGTCCTGTGCCAGCTGCCCCGCTGCTGCTGTACGCGAACCGCCGGGATCTGCGGCTGGTGGACGCTGCCCACGGCAAGGAGAACGCCACGGTGATCGTGGGGGGCCTGGAGGACGCGGCCGCCGTGGACTTCGTGTTCCTCAAGGGCTTGATTTACTGGAGCGATGTCAGCGAGGAAGCCATCAAACGGACAGAGTTCAATAAATCCGGCAGCGTACAAAACGTGGTCATTTCTGGACTTCTGTCGCCCGACGGGCTGGCCTGTGACTGGCTGGGGGAGAAGTTGTACTGGACAGATTCAGAAACAAATCGGATTGAGGTTTCTAACTTAGATGGATCACTGAGGAAAGTTTTGTTTTGGCAAGAATTGGATCAACCCAGAGCGATTGCCTTAGATCCTGCAAGAGGGTAAGTCTTTTTTAAAATAGTTACAAATATCAAAATTTGTACTATTTATTGTTTGTTGAATGATTTCAAATGCTGTTGTCAAAGTTATCCTAAGCCATTTTGCATCATTTGTTTCTCTTTCTATTGGTGTGGTTTGCAGACTTGTGAAGTTCCATTCGTATTGGTTTGTGAACAATCAGGAATCATCAGACTTTAGGAAACAGTACTAGAAACTTGGTTTGGCTGTAGTGCAGAAGATTAGCAGAAATGGAGACGTTCTAACCTAAAACTCAATAAAATATGCTTTCCTTAAAAAGCTGTGTCAGCTGCCTGTGAACAGACTTGTGCCTCTCTGCAGTGTCAGGAAATGAAATTTTTTGGAGCTTTATTAATTGTTGATATTCATGCTTTATTGAAGCATCTGAAGAAATGGGAGAAATCAACATACTGTATTAGTAACAACTTGAGATGTGTTTTGAAGCTTAATCAGAAAATGTACAAAAGAGGCTCCTTTCCCCACCCTTGGGGGAACTCCTGTTTTACAAATCCTGTGTTTTTGTCTCAGCTCTTTCTAGAACTGATGTTGTATTCTCAGCTCCCATTTGAGTCCCTGGATGTGGCTCTTTTTGTTCTGTTCTTGGGACAAAGCAGCGTTTGCCAACAATGGAAAATTCAGTGGAGTTTTGGTGATGTTATGTGAATGGCTGGCTTGAGGTTACCCCAAATGCAGTCATCTGTGACAAAGTGTTTGGGAGACCCAAAGTGGAATACTGATGGAATTCCTTGGTGCTGTGTAACCTTTTGAAAATATTTTATATCTGTAGTATAGAAAAAGTTTTTACTGTATTTTTTTTTCCTTGAACAAGCAAGTTAATCTACTGTACTGCCACTTCACATATGTTTTTCAGCCAACTCTTTTTTGGGGGGTGACAAATTAGTGCCTTGTTTCTTTGGAAAGATGAGGGTTGTGTTTCACTGCTTGCCATTTCTTTGCATTATAATTTTTGTTTGGCTTTTTTCCTCCAAACAGAAGAAAATCTCTGCAAATCATGGCTTCTTTCCTGAACTTCATAGAAACACTACATCTTGAGTATTTTCTTCTACAATTCCAATAGTTCTTTGACAATTGTTTGATAAACAGAAGATCTGTTTATTTTCCTGTACCTATATTTCAAGCTTTGGAAATAACAAAAGTATGGATGTATGTTTTTTCCATGTATTTGCAACTTGTAAATTGGAAGCAATGGTAGTGTTAGATGTATTTTATTAGATTCTAAAACCCTTTAAGAGTGTAAGGAAAGTTTAATGTTCTTGTCTTTTCTACCCACCATCCTGAAAGTGAGATAAAAAGGAAGGAAGCATACATTTAAAGTGGCTTTGATTTGGCTTGTAACCAGAAAGAAAGAGATTCTTGTTGGTTAGGAGTAAAGCTCTCTTGTGGAGCCAGTTGGTCATTTTTTAGAGCAGTGTTTGTATTTTCTGGACATGCAGAGTAGTATGCTCAGCAATCCCAACTTGATGTTTGCATACTCCTTACTTTTTCTTAATACTTTACACCAAGAGGAAAATACAAGAAGAAAAATGAAACAGGTCAAAAGTAAAGCAAACCTGTAACATTTCCCATACTGATGATCTGTTAAAGCAGTAGGAGTAAACACTCCTAAAAATATGCTGAAATTTAAACCAAAACAAGCAAAAAAAAGCAAACACCAAATCACCTTCCACAACTCAAATAAAACTCCTCTAACCAAAGCAAAAAAATCCCTCCAACAACTGTAATTTAAGGACAAAATATTTTCTTTCTTCCAAATTTTTGAAGGTTGCTTTCTAAGTTGTTACGTGAAGGGTATGTTTTAAGAGGGTGATACAGCAGTCCACTTTCTGGTTTACCATATTGCAGGTACAAAAATTGCAGTTCTCATGTGCAGTTTTATAGCAGAAAACCTTTCAGCTTTTAATAAATTTGGTTACATTTCAGAACAACCTCCAAAACTTGAAATATAGGTGGAAGGGTGACATGAGCACAGAGATGTAAATTTAAAAAGAAAAATAATTCCCCAAACTGTTCTTGTATGGATGCTTCTTGCACTAGTATTTACATTTTTTCTTAGTCCTGTAATTGTCTTTTGGTTTCAAGATGTTGCCTGGCAAATAGGGGTAGGAGTAAGCCAGAAAAAATTCTAAGAGCAGTTAATAAAACATGAAACCTGGAAAAGCAAACCCCCTCAAGTTTTCCTGCAGTCTAATCCACCTCCTTTTATGCTCAGATGATATTTGTTTCAGATACATTTTTTTAAACTTTCAATTCATGAAAAGAAATCAATTAGCAGCAAAACTTAAACTGAACTAATTGGTAAAGATGACCTTAGTGTTTCATCAAAGTTAAATTATGAAAAATAGTTTATCTAACGTAGGATGTATCAAGTGTTAAATGAAAAAGCTGAACGCTGATGTAAGTCCCAAACTATTAGTCTTTTCTGGGGTTGGATGTATATTTATTAAATGTATCTGTCTTGCTGAAAACATGAGAATGCCTACGTGGAAATGAAATGTTAACAGTATAAGCTAGCAGAGATGCATAGTGATGAATAATGCATTTTCTTGGAAGTGTCCCACATAGTGAAATTTAGTAAAATTTAAATGTTTCACCAGTGCTCTGGTCTTTCTCACAACTGCTGCTGTAGGATACTCCAGGGTTGCGAAGGTCACTGCTTGGTGCTGTGATGCTTTGGAGGAATGTCATTGGGCTCTTTCATAGCACATTACAGAAACAGTTCAGGCATTAAAGAATAAGTGGTTTGGGCAGCCTTTACTTCACTGCCAAAACCAGCAGGTGATGATTGTGTGTGAGGTTCGATGTGTAACTGAGGTGTTGCAGTAAAGTTAGACTTGGTTCCCATGTCTGTTATCAGTAATAAGAAATGCAATGGATTTACTAATCGAAAATATTTCTTATTTGATAACTGAGGCACAGAGCCAAGTCTGGGATTTTTTTTTTTTTACTTACTGTAGGAAGGCATTAAAATCTGAAACATCTGTATTCTCACTGGCCATCTCCTATGAACATTCTGAGGTTTGATCTTCTCATTGCTCATGTTCATATACTACAACTTCATTGTTTCACTTGTCTTGATACTCAATAAAATACTCTGTGTGCAGCAGGAAAGAAGAGGGCCCTGAGATGAAGGCGAGGGTGAATGGGTTGTTAGTTTAGCCTCCTTTTTAAGTGAGCTGGCAGGTTCCAGGAAGGCTCCTTGTTCCTATCCATCCTTTCTGGAACTCTTTTCCTGACTGGTGTTAAACACAAGACCTTTTTTAATAAGATCTGCAGCTGGGGATAACACTAATGTTTTAGTGGTGGCTTTTTCCAGGAGAAGACCAGGTGTTAGATCACCAAGTGCAGGAGAGCACTGTATTTAAGAGCAGTTCACATGAAAGTTGAGCAAGTAGTAAAGAGATTTTTCTGCTTCAGCACTCAAGATGAAAAAAAAAAGAAAGGCATATCCAGATTATTGAGCAAGTACTGCTTTAAAGTGAAGCATTGTATATTGGTACTGCTGTTTTCTTGTTGTGTTGGGTTTTTTTGTTCTTGAGGGGTTGGTATATTTTTATTTTTGCTTTTTAATTTGAAAAGCCCTTTTGTCCTTATGGTAAAGATTTCATCATCATAGTTTCAATTCCCCAGAAATTACCCTGTAGACAATCAACTTTCTTCATAAGGAGCACTATCAGAATGAGCTGGTTTTTCTCACTTCTAGTGTATTGTTCACCACAAAGGGAATTTTAAGTGTCTCCTAGAAGTGGTGACTAATTGCTTGCTTTTCAGTACATGTTTTAAATCAAGTGACTATATAGAGTTACCTTAATTGTTAAGGTCTTGTAAAACTTTTGAGTTGTAAAGGGTTTTGGTTAATGAATGGAATTAGAGTACAAAGAGCTACAACACTTTTTATGGCAGCTGAAGTTGATTTCTGGATGAAGTGCTTTGAATGCTGGGGAAGATCTTCAGGTTGAATGGGTACTCCTCCCCCAGCAGACTTGCAATTTTTTCGCACAAAATTTTTCAGGGAACACATACTTTTAATATGGACCTACTACTTTTGGTTTTTTGAAGGTTGAATACTGGTATCTGAGCATGTCAAGCACAAAAGCAGCAGTAGTACAGGACTTACATCTTAACATTGCAACAAAGGATTTGTGGGAACTGGTAGTACTTTTGCTGAGTGGTAGATGTTATACAACAGAATAAGAAAAGGGAAATGGACAGTTCTATTAATAGTTACAGTACCTTTGATTTGGGGAAAAAACATTTTAAAAATGAAAAAGAATTCTGAATTTCTTACTAAATTAACTTGTACAGTATATTTTTGTTTTCAGGCAAGTTAACATTACATAAAATGGCACTTTGTATGTAAATTCCCAAAATAATGCAAGTAACTGAAGACTTTGCTTTATACCTTCTCTTGCTTGATGCCACCTCTCCCTTGAGCAGATGATTTTTGACTGTAAATCTTTGTGCTGCTCCTCTGCTGACGGTAATGTTTAACAGTGACAGATCAGTGCACTCAGCTGATCATTTGCTGTTTAGCCTGGCCTGTGTACTAAGGAGGTAATTTTGAGGTTTTACAGGTGACATGTAGGCAAGTGATATGAAATCTGCAGACTCCTATGATTATGGCACAGAGCTTTATAAGGTGTATTTCATCTTTCTTCACCTAAGGAGGCTCTGTTGATCAGATGATGTTGATGATTGCAAATCCATCACTAAATTCGGGTAATAGCTGGGATATTAAACAAACCACAAGGTACTTTTTCATTACTTAAAGATTGCAACAGTTTTGCAGAGGTTGTCCTGATGAAACTGCACCAGGAGTGGCCTACCTTGCCTCTTGGGGCTGCATGTAGCTCTGGGAAGATCTAAAATGCAGCTCTGCTATCACTTGTAGGTGGGTGATCTGTGCACTGCTGGTTGGCCTTAATCTCCAGGCATGGCCTTTCAAAGCAGAGAAGGTTGCTCAGGC